AGCACAAAATACCCTAATCCTTAAGGGATGCTCCATAACAGATGCAGAGAACCCCAAAGGATTGCAGCCCCTGAGGATGTGACCAAAGAAATCTGCATGCACTGATAACGAACTTGCTGAACAAGCATTTGTTATATTTGGCAGTGAAGGCTCACCATAATAAATTCTCAATGCCTTCTGCAGAAGCAAGGAAAATAATCGATATAATGGAATGTGAACAAATATCTCTTGCGAACTAACATCATAAAACGATATCTGGCCATTCACACAAGCTCAAAACACGCAAAGTAGGTAGTCCTACGCCACATTCTGTCTCCCCTATGTAACCACATGCAACTGGATCAGTTTCAGCTGGCATGCTTTTACTGTCTGAGCCTCTACTTTTAGCAATGTCCATATCATCACTTGCTTGATTTCCACTATATACAGGAGAACATTGTGAGCTATGATTCTCACTTGAACCAGTTAGCTTCCCAAAGTATTTTCCTTTCTTAATATTATACAATGTTTTCTTTATTGCCAGAAAATTGCTATCAGAACTGCCGCTACTATTTGGAGAAGATAAACTCTGAAGAGCAGCAGAAGTACAGTGTTCAACTTCTAGCCAAGCCTCTATAGCCCTTAAGCACTCCTGTATTAACCAGATGGCAGAGGAGGGAATTAAAAGATGAGAAACGGAGTCAGATCCAATTTCACTACTCTTTGTAACACTCCTTCCTGTTCCACTGCAAACAGAGCTCTCTTGGGAGAGCCTTCCTACTTTTGCATGCCTTATGCTATCTCCATCATCCACATCTTGCTTATAAGCATAAGAAATAATATTTTCGCCTTCACTTGAGGCAACAGCAAACGCCCCCTCTACCAGGAGGGAATGAATATTGGAAATAGAATAGCTTAAAACAAAAAGCAAAATAGATTCATTTTCTTCTTCAATATGGAGGCCGGTTTCCCTCTTTATAGGGTTCATCCCTTGTACAAAAGTCAAAATCTTGAGCCAAGTTCTTAAATTGTCCTTCTGCTCATGTATTGCGTATCTGGAGACTACATCATGGCTCACGACAATCCGAATATCTTCAATTACACGGTTTGTGGTGTCATATAAACTTCCCCACTTAGCAGCCTGCAAAAGAAAAAAACACAAAAACTTATATAAACCGTCAAAATTCTAACTCGCTACTAGTAAAATAAATTCTTCAATAACCATTTTCAGGAGTTATGTTTTATAGCAATAACCAAAATGACAGAATGTGAAAATCTCAGGCTCTGTTATTTTTTATGCCAAAATTGTATGTCCTGAAATTATGACCTATTTCAATAAGAACAATAGAAATTACCTGCAAACGCCCATCTTCCCTAGCACAAGAAAGAAAAATGTCTCCCAAGCATTTCAGTAGCATGTCCAATAGGTTCATCTCCTTCACGAGACGAGGAGTTAGTGTTGGCACTGTGAATATTTGGACAGAGAAAGTTGAGATTAGTGGGTACTTCTTGAAAATGCTGTCACTTCCCTCTTTTATGGCTTCTCTTATAACAATTGGGTAGTAACTTAAAAATGCTTTCGAAAATTCATTTTTGAAGACAGGATCTGCCAGCAATTTCAGCAGCAATTCATGGAGTTTCTTTGCAACACCATCACCAACAAACTTCTCTGCTCTGACCAGAAAATCCAATAAACCATCTAGAGCAATTACCCTCCTAGCCACAAAACTGATCAAACTGTCACTATACTTGCAAAATTCTATTAGCATCTCAACGACCACATAAGTAAGTTCATTTGCAGCCTTCCTCTGTTCAGCACCACGATCGGTTGCTCTCATATTTTCATGAAATACACGTTCTGCTGCAAAAAGCTTGTCTTTCCAACAAATAAAGAGTGCATCAAGGACTGGACCTACAGAATTTGCTATGCTATCATCAAGTGGTTGAATCTGTTCTGAACCTTTATGCTTCGAGCAAAACCCCTCCTGTTTCCAAGCTGTTTCATCCCCACAATCACAGCAACCACCACCCGTATATATAATTAAGTAGTCATGATCCTTATGATTCCCATTCTGGAAACAGGGAACACAAATAGCACAAGTCGGATCATGCTCACATGTCCGGCACCTATATGCAATGTCATTCGATCCCCAGACCACACCACAAACACCACGTTGACCAACACCCGAATTCGCTAGGCTTTTCAAAGCATTCATAGGTTTATCCTGAAACATCAGCCACTGTAACCAAAGCATACTCTCTCGGAACTGATTTTTCATATTCAAACACATCCATTTCTTAGACCTTACACTACTATCTTGTATAGACTCCGCCACATCTTCGTCTGCAGGTACGATTGCAGAAACTACTTCCGGCAACAATAAGTCATTACCATTAACAAAATCAACTATCCCCTCATAAGACCTTCCGAGGTACTCCATTGGAATCCCTAAAGCAGCTAACCTCTGATTGCAAAATCAATAGTTCTTTTCAGCTTATTCATTTCAGCATCAACAAATTTGCAATGTACGAAATTTAAAAATAAAATTTAACTTCAACTTTTTCACATTTCACCTCATTGAATGATTTGGAAATTAAATATAAATAAATAAATAAATAAAGGTCGTACCCGTAGGACTCGATCACGGGGCTTACTCGGCAAAGAACCGGCAGGCGATTTCATTTTCTTACGGAAAATTAAATGGCAGTAACGAAGCAGCCAATCTGCGCAAGACAAGCATGGCCCTAATCTGGAGCCTCCTTCACTCCCCATGTTTACTTCTTCGATGAAATCTTTATCTAATTTGAGATAATCCAAAGAAAACCCAGATATTTATCAAGTCCCTGAATCGCTGGCGATTGATTCCCACTCATTCAACTAGTCGTTCACTCTGGGCAAAGCAATGAACCAAACAGGGCCTTCGGTTTCTCTCATACTTTATATAATTATTGATTTTTTATCAATAATTTTTATCTCACTCTTCCCTTAACTTCTTTTTCTTCAAGGCAGTGGTTCTAGGTTGTCTGGAATAATATGAGGGATACCGTGTTCCTGCTGTCGTCTGTTTGGATAATAATTATATTAATCTCCTTTCTCACTTCTCTAAAACCTTCTTCGTTATTGCATTTATGCACATCGACAAAATCAGTTTTTAATATTTATATTTTTCTTATGAAATTGATTCTTATTCTTTTCTTTATTTAAATTTGACTTTTAACTCATCAGAAGATAATTTAATCATTTTTAATAAAAATATTATTTTTTATGATTTTAAAATAATAATTTATATATATATATTTCATATTGATATAAAATTATTTGTTTCGTGTTATATTGATACATAATTTATAATTATAAAAATATTTAAAATGATAAAATATACATACATATGAGATTTTATGTCAATCTCAATAAGAATTGATCATTCTAGTTAATATTTTCATTTTAAAAATAACTATTTAAATTCAATTTTTTTAGAAAAATACTAAGAGTCAAATTTAATTAAGTATTAAACATGAAAATAATAATAAAACGACAAAAAATATTGAGAAGTAAATTTATCATTATGTCTTGTATTAAATTCAAAAAACCTATTCTTTCATTACAAGTTAATTTAGTTAAAGTATATTATTAATATTAATATGATTATATTATTATTTATATTTTACGTAATTTTTATATAAAATAATTTAAAATATAATTTAAAAATGAATTATGTAATTAATAAAATTATATATAATTCCAAAAAAGACTATTGCCTTTGATAATTATATTTTTCGCGAAACAAATTTTTTATTTTCTTATAACCCTAAACAATTGATGATTTAGTGGCTATATATAAACTTATGAAATATAGACAATTGAAAAGAAATATCTTTTTTTATATTATGTATTTTATCTTTTATTTTATTATAAATTTTAATCGAACCAATTTTTTAAAAAAATAACTGAATTGAACTAAGTATGGTTAATTGGTCGGTTAATCAAATTAACTAAAATTTATAAATAATATATTTTAAATATTAATATTTAATCTTTTAGTTTGCAGTTAATTCGGTTAAAACCGAAGTTTAAACACCCCTAAAGTTAAATAATATATTAAATATTTAATAATTTCGGTTAATTAGATTAATTAATCGATTTCGAACCTAATTAACCAAAACTAAAATTTAAAAATTCATTAATCATTAACCGATCAAACCTAAAATTAACCAACTGTTTAGTCAATCAAAATTTTAATTCGGTCGGTTATTTTGGTTTTAACCGAATTATGAACACCACTATAAAAAATGTTAATTAATGTTGGTTCCAACCACGGACCCAACCAACATAATTTGCTTCTCCAAGCCCATTTGAGTGTGGATTGTTATTAAATTCTTTGGTAAAATGAAAACTTTTAACTTTTTAAGATTTAAAAGCAAAAAATAAATAACATGAATAGTTGAATTTTTGTTTAGCTGATATTTTTGAAGATTATAATTTTTTATTAACATGAGATAAATATAACATAATATATGTTTAAATATAACTCTTAACCATTTGACATTGTAGATTTTAAATTTGAATGTACTTTAATATATTTTCGAACATTTGAGGCCTATAACTCGTAGATGAGGTAACATGGCTAGGGTCCTTGCGGATGCTAATCTTAATGCAATTTTACCCATTACTTGTTTAAACCAGATGCATCTGAATATTGTTTTGCTGCAACTTTACACATCTTCGAGCTTATCCCTCGAGATAAGCTTAAAACACATACATTGTCTGAATTAATACGTTAATCACGTAACAAGTCAAGTTCATTGTACTTTCATGCATCAAGCTGACCCTTGAAATATATACCTCCATTATTTGAAGACAATTATTAAATTACTTCTCATATATTATATTCAATACGGCCTTTGAGATCGATTAAGACAACACTGATTAAGCCATCTGAAACAGGGGAAAGATAACGCTTTTTACTCAGAAAAGGAAAATTTCCTTTTTTTTTATTAGATTATATAAATATACATCGTCTGCTAAATAATAACAAGCAATTGCGACAACAACATGGGATCTAAGCTGTGACGGATGTTTCAACTGCAACCTGACCGGGATAACTGACTTCGGATTTCCGACCAGTTTCCCACAGCTCTGGTATTGCCTGCTTGATGTTGTGAATGCTTTCTAATGCATAATCTGCACCTTTGGGTCTCTGGGAAGTGCCAATCTGCATAAATTTTTAATCCAATGAGTTAGTTTCATGGTTGTTTTTAAGGGATTATGTATGCCAAGTAAAACAACAAGGTTTTCAAGGACTTGCCATCACAGTGTGAAGACCGGCGCATTTTCCGGCCTGGATGTTGCAGACGCTATCGTCGAAGAACAACTGAAACAGCAAAAATCCAATGAAGGAAAACATTAGTAAACTGTAAAAACGCAATGAGTTTTGTAATGCAAAACGGTGAATTATCGATCGTCTTACTGTTCTCTGAGGGTCAATTTTGGCAATCTTGAGGGCGCACTCTATGGCAGATTCCTGTGGCTTGCAAACGACGGGCGTCTTGGGTAATGTTGCACCATTGTTGGGGTGAGCGAAATGGTCGATTATGTTGAAAATTTGACGGCTTCTAGGAGCACCGGTTGCAGTAGCAGCAGCAGCGGTGGATCCTAAGAACTCGATGTCATCCTCGTCATCCAAAACCGTGTTCTTACGAGTAGGATTGAGTGTCTCGAAGCAGATAATCCCTTCAAAACAGTCTTCCAATCCGAGTTTACTGAGGGCTTTAACGGCATGGACCCTGTCTGCATTTGTGAATATCTAAAAACAACAAGAGACATCAAGTTCTGTCAGGAGACAATTAAATAAAAAGGCATGATCAATACTTGCTTGTGCATCAAGTAATCAAACTAACAATTTTTCGAAGAGGCAAAGTCTGCAATAAACTCTTCAATGAAGGATCTGGTTTTAGGTTCCCATATGGAAGTCTTCCATGAACAAAACTATGGTACTCATCATAGTCAAAGTCATAACCAACAGCCTGCAAATAAGAGAAAAAATATATATTAAAATTATATTTTCCCCCTACTGAAAAGGAAAGGTTTAATGGAAGCAAATCATACCCTAAGGCCAGCCATTGTTGTCCCATAATTCTCATACAAGAGGTTGGACAATTCAACAACTTTCTCCCTTTCTACACCCAGTTTTTCAACCATGTAATCTACAAAAAAGATAAATTCAGATTACCATGAAATCTTTATAGTAAAAATGGTAGTAGCCATGCATCATAACACATTTCTTTACCTCTAATATTCTTCCCACATTCTCTTGCAAGGCCAGAACTTTTTGGATAGAGGGTATCATCAAGATCTGCAAATTCAACCAAATTGTTAAATATATTTGCAGTTTCAATTGAATGAGTCTAAATTCATCATATTTCTATAGTAAAGGAGCTTACCAAACAAAAGGCAATCGTATTTAGGCCTCTGAGTTAGACTGTATCTATTCTCGTATTCCATTTTTGAACTTGAACAAATGACCTAAATTAAGCGATGGATAAGAGAGACATTGATTAGCTCACGAGTGGAAACACCACAACCACCACTTGAATATCGAGTTTCGAGAACATGTATTAGATAATGCAAGAAAAGGCACTTTCAAATGTTACAAACAAATAAGAAATTGAAATAATTTTCATGAACAAAAACCCAGAAAGCTGAGAGCTTTTTAGTAAAAGCATGACAAAGAATTGGATTAAAATGCAAGAAAAAATTTTAAGGCCCTGCAATGAATAAGTTATCATACCGGTTTCAAAGACAAGGCAAGCTAATGAAAGGAAGAGTCTTTGAAAGGCTATGAAACAGAGGAAGCAGAGGGATTGTAATATTGTTCTCAATGAAGAAGAGAAAATCGAAGGGAGAGGAGGAAGGAGAACTGAGGCTGAAGTGGGCTTTTATAGGCAAAGAAAGATAGTTGGCTATTCAAGTTAATCACGTTTAATTAACTTGTGTTGAAAAAAATCAATATTTTTCTTGCTATATTAAATGTGTAGAAAGTAAAAAGAAGCAACCCAAAGCCAAAAATCAAATCCTCTCTACTGCAAAAAAATAAAAGAAAGCAGAGTTAGCTGTCCTATGGGACTTTCTTAATCTTTACCTTTTGTTGTTTTGTTTTCCACGGTCCAAATTTATTCATTTGCTTATTGTTACTGCAAAATCCCTTAAATTTGCTGCAAAATTTAACGTGATGAGATCAATAAAATTTGTTATTCTAACCTCGTAAACTAATTTTTGAAAGTGACATTAATTAAGTTCAAATGTCGTTTTTTTAAAGATTTGGATTATAATCTTCGAGGTGGAATACAATATAAACATGTGGGGTCACGCTCTTCTAAAATTTTAAAAAAATATAATTTATATTCAAGTTAAAAATAATAATATACCCCCACAAAAATTTTAGAAATTCTTATTAAGTTTTTAATTTTTTTATGTTTATTAACTAAATCCCTCCCATAATTTCAAATTTCAAAAAAATTAGTTAGAACCTAAATTTTCCAGAAAAATATAAATTGAACCTTTAAAAAAATTAAAATTTTAAGTTTATTCCCAACTCTATCACCAAATTTTATCACTGTTGGAATCAAACAATATATATATGAATATGAAGTAATAATTGATAGAAAGGGAAGATGCCAGTTTTTTATTCCACCTGGATCCAATCTAGAGAATTCTTTTAAGTAAGAGCTTCCATTATTTGTTCATTCATCTCAGTTTTTTATTCAACTGACAATCCATATATACACAAATATAAGAATACTATTAATATTATTTTGTTAAATTACGGCTTTCGTCTCTATATTTTATTTCATTTTATATAATTTATTTTTATATCATTATTAATATTATGTACTAATCCAAATCACTAATGTATTCACTTTTATTTATTTATTAATTGATGTAAATTTTTTAAAGCCCGGAACTTAAAACTCTCTGTATTATTTATAGGATGATTATGTTACATTGACGAGCACCGATGAACATCATTAAAGATTAGTATCATTAATTTAATTAATTTATAAAATTTTAAAATTATAGAGTACTTAACGTAGTTAAAAATCTAAACATATATTATTTATACTAAAATATTAATTACATTATTTTTATAATTTTATTTTAAATAATAATTAGATCAAATATTAAACTCTAAATTAAAAAAATCCTAGATCCTTGTTTTTTTTTGTTTTGAAGTAGCCGTTACTGTCGTTGTCACGATCGACGTTACCATCAGTGCTGCTACTGTTGTTACCATTGTCACTGTCGCTGATGCTATCACTATTACTATCGTTGCCGTCACTGCTATTGTCGCCGCGTCAAAACAAGAAAAAAATTAAAATTATTTAATTTAAGGTTAATATTTGATCTAATTATTATTTAAAATAAGATTATAAAAATAATATAATCAATATTTTATTTTAAATAATTTACGTTTAGATTTTAAATAATTTATAATTACATATTGAATATTTTAAAATTTTATAAATTAAATTAATAATGTTGATGAGTATTCCTTATTTATATAATTATAGTCTATGGGGACGTTGGTTTGAAATTTTCAACAAAAAGAAAGAATTACTAATAATTTTAGGTTTTATAAAAGTGTGAACCGAGTAATAATGATCGTAATAAAATTTTTAGGGGGCGATAGCCCTGTCTAGGTCTATTTTTACATAGAATGATTACGATAATAGATTTTATGATTTAAAATTTAAGATTTAAAATCAAATTAGATAATTTGTATATATAAAAATTTACATTTAAATAATACATTTAAATGAAGACGAATTCTTATATATTTTTATATTGGAAAAATGCTTCCATGATACAGAATATAAATGAAGATGAATTCTTATATGCTTTTATTTACTTTCTGTGGCAAGAACGAAATCGTAGAATGTACCAAGGCCGATCGTATACTGCCGACAATTTGCTTAAGGAAATTATCGAAGTTGTTAGTATACATCTTAGGGGGAAACCTATTAATAGACTAAATTGTATTAATTTTTTCCTTTGTAATGCTTGGAGAATTGTATAACCAATCACTGATTTTTTGTATCTTGTTCATTTTATTTAGTCTGCTGATTGGTTTTGGTTGTAGCATAACTTTACTATTTTAGGTAATAAAATTCTAATTTTTCCACAAACAAAAATGTTTCCTAGTTGAGCTTATTGCAGAAAGGAAGTCCATACAAAATATTATTAAAAAATATGTGTAGATGATATAATAATTGAAATAAATAAATAAATAATTCATGTCTGGTATGTGCATATAATTGGAGGTAATGCCGTCACTAAGTGGCAATGACTAACCCTAACGTAGCCCAATACAGAAACCTTACAAACAAATTTGTTTTAATTTAATGTAATAGTAAAGAGAGAGAATTGAGAAAGATATTTAGAAATATAAAAATATGTTAAAATATAATATTATATATAAATGAATAACAACTATGATATAGATGTTTTAAATTATATGTGAATTACTGGTATATTAAAATTAATATAAATATAATATGTTTTAAGTACTTTGATCTGTTATCTATTATATATATTATCATTAACATGTGATTTAGTTGGATCACAGACAAATTTTATTAAGCAAAGTCAATATTTTGAATATTGATGTATGTGAATAGAATAAATTGAGTTGGGAGTGTCGTCCTTGTCTCTGTGGTATTCGGTTCGAATTAGTTGATCAATAGATCAAATACCGATAATTATACCAAAAAATATATTAACATGAAACGATTTAATCAATATCATAAATCAACCATTAACTAGTTTTCTCTCGTTAGTGTGCCGCTTATCTCTTTTATTTTTCGTCTTTGTTGATCGACGACGGCATCAACTTTAATTTAGTTGCCGACTGACGGTATTTTTTTTATTGTCTTTTTCCTTTCTTATATCGTATTTCTATTTTATTTTATTTTTTTCGATAAGTCTGTTTCTATGACACGTTTTCATATGCTTTTATGACATACTTTCATCTGCTTTTGGGACATGCCTTCTTTTGTCTTTTGGAATATTTTTCGTTTGTTTGACCTTTTTTTCATTTATCTTTTACTAAGGGTTGATTTGACATCGTCATGACTGATCAAGAAAAATGATCCTAAACCATAGAAGAATATATGTGTACTTTCAATTATAAAAGAAAAATAACATATAAGTGATAAAGTTTAAGCTGATTAAGATGTTCAAATGATGGGGAAATAAAGAATCCTTGGTTTTAGTTTAATGTATTGTTTCTTTTTCTGCCCATGTAAAGTTTTAAAATCTAAAAATTCGAATTAATTTAATCCAAAATTAACTCAATTTGCTCTATTGATCTATATCTATTTTCCTTGACTAATATATTTGGAATTTATTAAAGTGATATTATCAATTAAAATATAGTTTTAATTGTATTTTGAATATTTAACTTGAATTGTGAATGGAATATTGTTAGCTTCGATTAGGTGAGGTTTGTTTGACTGGGAAAGGGAAAGAATCATACCAAATCTGATTAAATGTTCAAATATTTCAAGCAAATGATATAGTTAAATTAAGGGTTAGTAAAACTTGACTCGACTCAAAAAATCGAATTTTTTTAATTTTGAGTTATTCGAGTCAACTCGAATTATAAATTCGGTTTTCGAGTTTGAGTCGAGTTGAACATTTGAATTTTCGAGTTACTTGAAAAACCAAAAATTTGACCCAGTCTTTGACAGTTTTACGATTTAGTCTCCGATTTCATAATTTCTTCAATTCCTCCTTCATTTTAAGTCCATTTTTACTAAATTTGAACTACATGCTCCTAAACTATAATAGAATACATGTGTGCTTTCAATTTCTCTTTTTGATAACATTTTTTGTATTTTCAATTTAGTCCTTCAATTTTTCATAATCTTCTTATTTCTTCAATTCGTCATTTATTTTAAGTCTTTTTTTTACTAAATTTGAGCCACATGATCCTAAACCATAGAAGAATACATGTGTACTTTCAATTCCTCTTTTTGATAAGAAATTTTTATTTTCCAATTTAATCATTCAATTTTCATAACCTCCTTATTCCTTCAATTTTTGATTTATTTTAAGTCCTTTTTTTTTATCAAATTTGAACCACCTGCTTATATACCACAATATAATACCTATGTAACTTTAATTTTTATTTTTTTTACTAAATATATACTATCTTTTTTATTTAATCCCTCAACTCTGCATTTTACTCAATTTGATCTTTTGACTACAATTGTTTGTTTTCTTCTCATCAATTTCCTTGACTCGTTTATACTCTCATTCATATTTTACCCTCAAAATACTTTCTTTAAAATATAATATTATGAATATATTTCATAATTTTAGATTGTATTTGATATATTAAATAACATTATAATATGAAAGAATATAATATATATATATATTATGGTTAGATAAAGTCAAAAAATTGGAAGAAATCATTGACATAATACTATAAATAATTATAATAAAATTAGTACATAAACTCGAATAACTCAATTCGAATTTCTTAAACTCGACTCAACTTGAAAAAATTTCAAGTTAAGTTCGAGTTGTAAAATACGACTCATCAACTTGAATAACTCAAAAAAATTTGACTCGACTCGATCAAATGCTCACCCCTAAATTAAACGAAGTTGGACTTAGAAATTCAAGTTCATAGATAGATTTATGTTTCCTTTTCAACTGCGTTGCGGTTATTGGATGCTTTGGGTCTTCACGTAACGAAACTGTTTGTTTTTATTCGGAAGTTTTGAAATCATTTTTATTGAATGATTGATTTACAATCATACGATTGTAGCAGTCAAACTAAATAATTTTTATTAATCCAAAAATATATTTTTCTCAATGATTGGATCCAATCTTTGAGTTAATCTCCAAGTTTTTTTTTAAAATTGAACTTCAATTCAAATTTGATTACGACAATATTCATCTACACATTGGTAAAATCAAAGGCAGATATATCATTTAGTTAAGTTGAATTAATCAGAGGGAATATATATTATCATTCAATTTGCTGTCATGCAATCAAGCATCAAACACCTCATGAAACCTTAGTCATCTTAGAAATCTCATCTTTTTCCCATTTTATATTTCAAAACAATCTTATAATTTGAAGTTAATTCCGACATAAATCTTATAATTAGCGCTGTTTAGGGTATTGGGCTAGATTATGATGTCATTTTCTATAATTGATTGGGGTGATGTCTTGCTGGATAGCAATGGCATTTCGGTTTCGATCAAAGAGGACATTAGTTTGTTGATTTATGGTATAAAGCTTTTGGTACCAGTCTTCGATGCTCTAAAGCAACACTAGAATGTTGTCCACTTTCACATGTCCTGGTAGCCATCAATTTTTACCCCGAACCTAAAATGATTGCAATAGGTAACTTGAAATGACCCGAATTCAAATGTCAAACCTAAATGAGCCGAACCCAAAAAAAATCAAACTTTGAAATGGTCCAGGTCTACTCAGAAACTTACATTATTATCCATGCCTTACCCTATATATCCCATCATGCAGGGAGTTCCATCAAAAGTTATGAACCCATACTCCAAAGTTCAAAGACACCTACACTTTCCACGGCCTTGGTTTATAATATGATTCAGTACCTCAGCTTTAAAGAAAAAGCTTTGGCCAACCTCGGCCTCCTTATCTATAATCGAACTCGATCTCCTTATCTATAATCGAAATGACTTAATAATCAAGCATATGCAACAAGAACTAATGAAACCTTCGGCAAATAAATAAAATCTGCATAAGCGAACAAAACATATAGAAATGCGTTGCATGGGACTGTGCATGAAATCACATGCTGTAATGTTGCATGCATTCTAGAAAACTTGCTTAACGATCAAACATATTCATCACTTCACATGATTCTGAACATATTCCCAAACAAACAGCAAAAAAACAATAAAATGATTAACACGAAAAATAAAATAAAAAAATGCATGGAAAACTATGAAAAGGAGCAATTAGAATAGCTGCATAATACCATATTTTATAACTATCAAATAATATATACAACCAAACTTGGATCGACTTGAAGATACAAAGGGAAAAGACAAAGGTAGAGTTCCCTCAAAATAATCCCAAAAGCAAGCCACGTTTTACATTTCGACTTTAATGTCATTCAAGCCACATTACTATGAACAGAAGAGATGTTCAGATTTAAATACTCAGCTCTAGAGCATAAGCGTGGAAAAATACTGCTCAAATTCTTGATCAATGGTCGGTTTCCTTTTGGTTTCCGGGGCCTCTGCAGTAAAGTATATATGAAGGAAACCCAAATTAAATAGACGCCATGGTCAGATTGTACAAGGAATGCGTATGTATTTACAAAGTCTTAGGAACTACCTTGGTTGACGCTCCATCGTCCGGATGAAAGAACATAAACATTTGGATTTGCCCCGTCAGACTTAATAGTTTCTTCAATTTCCTTATCTTGGTATTGCTCTATGGTATAATTTCCATATCCCGAGTAGATGTAATCTATATCGTCTCCATACTCAGCGAGCGTCTCCTGAAGATTCTCAGCTAGTCTGGCATCGGCAGTTTCAAGCTCATCACCAGGAGAAGATAGCACATCTTTTCCGACACTGCTTGATGCAACAGTTGTACCATCAGAATGGGAACCTCGGGAGCTGGATCCCCAATCGGGTGACCAGGAGGAAACACTGTTGAATAGCGAATACTTGGCATCGGCATGCATAGACATTGAGGTGTCGGAATCTTCAGATAAGCTGTTGCTATCTTTTGCTGACTCAATTTCGGATACATCATAGTCATCCCCTCCTTTTCCTTTGAAAATGCAGGGACTGAACCCTTCTATTTTTGTGACGCTGCCTAAGGTAGGAGGAGGCTTCAACGACAAGCTTTGCTTCCAACATTGATGCTTCGGTAATGGCAAGCCCAATTGCTCGGCCTTTAATTTCCTTTTCTTGTTTAGGTCAACATCGATGAGCGAATTGTCAAGAAAGCTGAAAATGAAAATAGAAATAGGAATAAGAAGTCGGCACGTACCCTACATAGAAGATCGATTTTCTTTCTCATTTGCCAACCAAAAGTTAAAACATAGAGTAGTTAACGATTACGTTTTGCCTCATTCACGATTCAAACCAGATCAACAAGTTAGAGTAATTAAAATCCCGTAGAAATAATACCATCCAAGAGTTATACAGTTTTTTTTTACTTACAGAAACAGTCAACTGCTACCTCAAAACATGTATCAAGGATAAACCCCCCAATTCTGATCCGATCGCAAAACCAAACAATCCGATTCCAAAAGTAAACCCGAAATGATCCAAATAAGTAACCTAAAATCGCCGTACCCGAGATGACCTTACCTGGAAAAACTAGCGCAAACCCCGTCTAACCCAAAACCGATCCGACCCGCCTAACCGATAAACTAAAAGGTTAAAAGCATAGAGAAGCCATAGCTGGTAAATGACAGTTGCAAAGCTAAATAAACAGCAAAAGATCAAACTGTTAACTGACACCCATAAATCATAACTTTCATAACCAAACCCCTCTCGAATTAGCAAGTTGTTAGCTTATTCACAAACAAAAAGAAAACAATTTGAAAAGCATGCTATGATATCAAAACAAAGATCCCATGATTTGAAAGAAAATTATCTAACAATTAGTACTTGGCAATCAAATAAGGCAAGAAAATTAGAGACACAAAAACCGAACCTCTTAATCTGAGACGGGTTGGGTTTTTTATTATCTATTTCCATTTTCTGACAGCACCGCCGGCAAAATCTTCGTCTCTCAGGTGAGGATAAAGAGGAAACTTTAACTAAAGGACTACTTTTTTCCATTGTTCGTTAATATTCGCCATTTTTTCATTTCTCATACAGTTGAAAATTTCATCGATTCTCGGTGTTTGAGCGTGGGAAACATCCTCCAATTATATTTTGACACGTTGTTATCGTTCTTCATCGTCGAAGGAGCGAGTGAGCTGATCACTCAGACAAGGACCATGCTGAGGCCACGTGAGTTTTTCGGAGGTGGCTCGATGTTCAATACATTAAATTGACCACTATCCACAAATATTACTATTTATATTACTTATTAGCTTATGTTTTAATTTTATCCAAATTTGATCATTAAAAATAAAAATTACATTTCAATCACTTAAGTTATTAATTTGTTATAAGTTGATCACTAAATTATCAATTCCTTCTAGTTTGGTGCTTAGGTGCAAGATTTTTGTTCAACGAGTCTTTGGCTTGAGCTTCCCTTATGTATTACATATTTTATATACTTTTTTATTAATAAGATGATATTATATGTTATCATTTTATTGGATGATATTAATTTTTAATAAAAATATTGACGTGATCTTATTAGATGATATTAATTTATTAAATATTTTTTCTAAAGTTGATGATTTTAATTTTAAAAAGAAATATCACGTCAATAAATAAGTATATTTAGATGTATCACGTAAACAAGAAGTATGGATCTTTACTCAACTAATTATTTCTTTCAAATAAATCATTTTGGTCAAAATTCAAAGTTTAAAGGATAAATTATTTTTTTTATAAAAAGAATGAGACCAAAATAAATACTTTAACAAACACCAAGGGTAGATTTTGATATTATACCAAGATAAAGCTATTTTTTTAACAATGACAATTGATTTTATTAATAATAGAAGAAATCAAAATTACAACTCATTAAAATATAGAGAAAATAATCCCCAAATTACTCGTAGAAAAGTAAAAATATTAATCCTAAAGATATGAAAAAAATATATAAAATATTCTATCGAGAATGACGATCAAATCAAAATCCAATAATCTTAATAAAAACACCTTGTCTTTGACAAATGAGACGCTTTACGAAGTGATAAAGGAGTGCAGTGCGAACCAAACAATATGGTAGGTTGTTTCGCTATACAATTTAGATTACATCGGCAAACAACCTTTTACCAAAAGATGAGATCATACTATACATGACCAGCGACAAACCAATCAAAAAATAACAGTCGTGATAATTTTTGTGCGAGAATCAAAACAACTGCAAAGGTATATGAAAAACGTACCAAAAATCATAAGGATCATGCCACAATAGCATATGAAACGCATGCTATAAGAGCATAGAAAAACGTGTTACAATGACAAATATTTTTATTCAAAATTAAAAACACTCAAAAAAATAAAGGACGTAATATAAAAAAAACAAGAGAACTAATAATCTCCTGTGGTCGGCAACCAATATTAAGATGGGTGCTGCTGTCGACTAAAAAAAGACGACAAAAAAATATTGAGAGAAAAATAAGATAGATAAAACTAATTTTTAATATGAAGAACACAAAATTCAGTTCAAATTAATCAGTTGAACTGAAAATTAATTAATCGAGTAATTTAGTTATAGAAGGTGAAAACAAATATTTAAGATGAAAAGTGTGAACTTGTAAAACATTTTATTTTATTTTATTATTGTTGAAAACTTTTTCAACAAAAAGAACTTTTTATGAAGAAAAAAAAACAAGAACAAAAGGTCTAAATTTATGAACTGTGTTTATATTTGCCAATTATTACCAATACTTTTGTTTGTATTTTAGAGTTACAAGGATTTCACAGTTTCCTTGTACATGATTTATACAAGTTTCTACACTGATGCCTTTTTAATGGACAATGAGTAAAAAGTAAACAAGAAAAACAAGGGTAAAAGTAAAACCCCACAAATAATATTTCTAATTCTAATTGCTTTGGAGAGACTTGAATTACCTAGTTATGGGCAGTGGACCTCTCAATATCCTCCTCCATGTTGCCACTTGCAGCAACAGCTTCAAAAGCTCTCCAACTGTTGCCAGACAGCGATGAACCGTGTTCCTAGTTTCGCTTTACCGTACGACGGCAAGGAGATAGATTATGTGCTATGGTAACTTTGATGTGATCGCGAGGTAGGCGTTCATCAATCCCTCGAGCATCGAGAGCTTTCGATATATATAACCGAGACTTCATTTTTCATGTTGATGTGGCGGATATGGTATCGTATGGTGTTCGGAAGCGGAGGCCGTCACCTATGTGTCCCGTTGTGGGGCATATCCAGCAGAAGACACTTGGACCCAAAACCTGAAACAATAAGGTCACAACAGATGAAACAAGCATCGTAAATATTTACAAGGAAACAACGCGAAGAATGCACCAAGTTCATGATGTTCAATCTAGTCTAGATCAGCTAGAATAATAAAACTCGGCATATCGAGGCCACTTAAGCCTCTAAAGCTAACAATTAAAAGAATATGGTCTTCTGGGATTCATCAAGATCACAATTCCATTATTAGTGATTACCGACGGTAGATTTTCATAGGCCCCGAGATCATACGGATGCTTGTACACGGTTCCTCCTTTCTCTGCAAGGCACAAAGCTCTCACCCCTTCATGATACTAACGAATCTGAACAAAAAAGTTAAGGAAATGTTTAAAATTTATAAACAAAATCGAAATAAACAAAATGCAATTCATATAAAATTATTGTTACCTCGATCGTCGTCTTGTGGTGCAAAATGAGGTAGATATGAAACCCAGCAAAACACTCAAGGCCACACTTAATGGGAGTAGCAACAGTCCAGAAATAACCTGAAAATGCCAAGTCATAAGTATAGCTCTATTATGGTGAGTTGTAGCTCTCACTACAAAAAATTTCTTATTAGTGACATCTAGGTTATTGTCACTAAAACTTCAATTTATGTCACTAGATGTATTTTGTGACGTAAAAGTCAATGTCACGACGATCGTCACCCTAAATATGTCACTAAATGTCAAAAGTGATGATGTATGTGTTATCGTCATGTATTGTTAAATATATAGTGATGCTAATGGATAACGTCACAGTTTAATTTGCATTCAGTGACAATTGCTTTTGTCACTAAATGATGTACATTTTCGTCATTTGATAAGATGTATATTAGACATATATTCTATGATATTTTCCTCATATTTGAATAACTAAAATTGATTAAATTATGGATTTTGATTATATTTCGTATTTTGTGGATTAGGTTGAAGATTTGGATAAAACAAGTTCAAAATCTTATGATTAGCATGATCTTCACAAAATCCTCGAATTAAGGAGGAAAAATCGGAATTCAAGAAGCTAGCAAGACCATAAGAGGTTTTCGCGTAAGGCGTGGGCATGGCTTATTCATCCTTAACTACCGTAGAAGAAGTCTTCAATTAAGGCGTGGGCGCGCCTTACCAGTCCGTACAACCCTAAATTAGTACAAGGGAAAAAGAGTTTAATGACGGCTGGAAGACTCTTTTGAATTATTCTTATCTTTAGAAAAGGATGAGGGCATTTAAAACTCCTATTTTTGTGGGATTTTCTTTAAGGGAAATTTCTTTATCTAGAATAGGAAAATCCTTATAAAAGGGGAGCTAGGGCCATTAGTTTTACATCAAGTTTTACATTAAGTTTTTCTTTATTTTCTTTTGGTTTTCTGTCAATTATGAGTAGCTAAATACTTTTGTTCCAATTGGAGGATAATTGAAGCTTTGGTTCTTCAAGGATTGTGAGATCTAAATAATTTTCATTGTTCTTTTACTTCTTTGCTATTTATATATCTTCTGTTTTTATTAAGAATTATTGTCTTGATTGATTGTGCAAAGGATCCGTTGTTCAATTATCAAGTTGATAAATTGCCATTTAGAACTTTAAATCCGTAATTGTTTAAACGTTCTAATATTAGTGGTAAAGTAACATGGTTGATTATGATTATGTTATGAAGGTATATAACCTAGTCTAAATGAATCGAGCTTGTGTATTCGTTGGCTAGAATTGGTGGTCCCTCTAGTGATTAATGTTGTTGGTGGATTAAATCTTAAGAACTTGTCTAGGGTTGTTCATTAACTAGGGAAATAATCAAAGAGCTTCTCTTGATTATCGAGAAACTAAGGAGAGACAAGTTGTTAGAGCTTCTCAATAACCATAACCAATTTAGTGAAAAGTAGAAGATTTTATCATTGCATCTATGATCAATTCTCTGAACCAATTCTGAAATTATACATTTAGTTGGATATTTGCTTAATATTAATTTCTCTAAATTTTTAGTTGATTAGATCTGCTTTTTATTTTTACTTTTCTCAATTTAAAAACCCCTTTTCTTTGCTTTAATTTTCATTAAAATAAATCTACCCAATCCTTGTGGATTCGACCTTGCTTATCGCTACTACAATTTTCTATTTCCAAAAGTAAGTATTATTATTTGTTGGATTCGACACCCACTGTTGCCGGGGATTGGTGTTATTTAGATTTATTTTGATTCCCCGTTCTTTTCGTGCAGGTGAACTCCAATACGATCCTGAAATCGAGAAGACCGCTCGCAGGTTAAGAAAAGAACCTAACTTACACAACAAACAAGCTTCTTATTCTTCATCCCCTGAATCGGAATCTGCAGTCAACTTGGTTGATTCATCCAGCGATTCTGAAATAGAAGGAACAATGGCCAACGAAGAAAGAACTCTAAGAGAGTTGGATGCACCAAATGTGAATCAACAACCGCTCTGCATTGACTACCCTGCTTTGGAGGTAGCTTTTGAATTAAAATCTGGTTTGATTCATTTGTTGCCTACTTTTCATGGACTTGAGAATGAAGATCCTCACAAGCATTTGAAGGAATTTCATGTGGTATGTTCAAGTATGAGATCGCAAGGAGTGACTGAAGAGCAGATAAAACTGCGCGCTTTTCCGTTCTCGCTAACAGATAGAGCTAAAGATTGGCTCTTCTATTTACCCCCTGGTTTTGTAACTACTTGGGCCGAGATGGTGAGGATGTTTCTTGATAAATTTTTCCCTACTTCAAGAGCCGCTGGCATTCGAAGGGAGATATGTGGAATAAAACAAAAAGATACTGAGACCTTCATGAGTATTGGGAACGATTCAAACGACTATGTGCCAGCTGCCCTCAATATGGGATTTCTGAGCAACTTCTCATCCAATATTTCTATGAAGGATTACTACCCATGGAGAGGAAGATGATGGACGCAGCTAGTGGAGGCTCTATAGTGAATAAGACTCCTCACGATGCTAGGGAATTGATCTCCATCATGGCTGCCAATTCATAACAATTTGGCTTTAGGCAAGACACATCTTCAAGAAGGGTGAATGAAGTAGGTTCGTCCTCCATTAAACATCAACTATCACATCTCACCTCCCTTGTTCAACAACTAGTTGTAGAAAAAACTTAACAAGTGAAAGCCTGTGGGATATGTGCTACGATAGGTCACCCAACTGACATGTGCCCTACACTTCAACATGATTCTCATGAGTACGCCAATGCAGTTGGAAGGTTTCCAGATCCACCACAAAGGAAGTATGATCCTTACTCAAATACCTATAATCCAGGATGGAGGGATCATCCTAACCTTAACTATGGACCAAGACCATCACAATTCCAGCATTTTCCACATGAGCAGTCTTCTTCAAAGCCAGGTATGTCCCTAGAATAAATTGTCAAATCACTTGCAACTAATACACAACAATTTCAGCAAGAGACAAGAACAAGCATACAAAATTTGGAGAATCAAATGAGTCAATTGGCATCTTCCGTGAGTCGGTTAGAATCCCAAGGTAAGTTACCTTCATAAACCATTGTTAATCCAAAGTAAAATGTTAGTGCAATCATATTGAGAAGTGGAAAGGAGTTGAAGGAACCTAGTTCATTAGCACATGGGAGAGCCTTAGAGGAAAAAACTGAAAAGGAAGTTGTTGCTCCTCAAACTCATAAAGACCAACCTAAAGGACTCAAAAGTGGAAAACCAAAGAAATTTGTCATAGAACCTCATTTTCCCTCTAGATTCGCTAAATCCAAGAAAGAAGCAGAAGAGAAAGAAATTCTTGAGATGTTTCGCAAGATCGAGATAAAATATTCCTTTACTTGATGTAATTAAACAAGTACCTCGATATGCTAAAGTTCTTAAAGAATTGTGCACCAACAAGAGAAATCTCAAGGGTAATGAAAAGGTAAGTATGGGGGAGAATGTTTCAGCTGTCCTCCAGAAAAAACTACCCCCCAAGTACAAAGATCCAGGTATGTTTACTATCTCTTGTAAACTCGGTAATGTTAGGATTGAGAGAGAAATGTTAGATCTAGGAGCTTCAGTAAATATCATGCCTCTTTCTATTTACTCATCTCTGAATGTTGGTCATTTGAAAGAAACATGAGTGATTCTTCAACTTACTGATAGATGTAATGTATATCCTGAGGGAGTTTTAGAGGATGTTTTGGTGCAAGTTAATGAATTGGTTTTTCCTGCAGATTTTTATGTGCTTGATATACAAGAAGATGATTATTCTAAGTCAACATCAATTTTGTTAGGAAGACCATTTTTGAAAACAGCTAGGACAAAAATTGATGTAGATGATGGTACACTTACCATGGAATTTGATGGTGAAGTTATTAAATTCAATATTTATGATGCCATGAGATGTCCTAGTGATGTGTCCTCTGTTTTTTTCATGGATCTTATTGACCCTTTAGCATAGGGAACTTTTAATAAAAATGAAGATGACAAGTTGAAAGATACACTCAACATGAATTTCACTTCTGAAGGATTGCAGGGAATCATGAAAAAGTATGTGTTGGATCTTGATTTGCAAGATACAATCCAAGAACTAGAATCACTCAAACCCAAGAGGTATGATGTATCTTATATTGAGTCACCTCTTTCTTACACCAAGCTTCTTCCTTCTCTTGTGCAAGCACCAAAATTGGAAATGAAGCATTTGCCAAATCATCTGAAACATGTATATTTAGGAGAAGCGGAAACTATTCCGGTGATCATTCCCAACAAACTCTCTCGCTTAGAAGAAGAAAAGTTGATTCGAATGCTTAGAGAGTACAAGGAAGCTATTGGGTGGAGAGAAAAAAAATTTTATTGTTGAAACACAAAGTTTGGATACAAGTCAAACGTTTAAGGTCAACGATCATCGTTTGAAACCTTTTTATGAACATACTGCTGGTCAAACCATTTTGGAATACCCAAATTAGGATGATTAAGAAGCTATAACGTCTAGCCAAAGACGTTAAAGAAAGGCACTATTGGGAGGCAACCCAATTTTTCTTTTTCTTTTTTTTCAATTTTTATTTTCGTTCTTTTTATTTTTATATTATTTTAATTTTTTCCTTGATTTTTCAGAGTACAATTAATCTTGTTCTCCTCTTTAGGTCAGAAGATGAATTTTTGTAACCTGTGGGCAGGCCTTACAATAGCAGAATTATTCTTAAAGTCTCTCACTATTCAGAAGTTCTTTTTGTATAAGACGTGCCCACGTCTAAACTCAACACCACTTCTAGTTCAGGAAACAAGATTCAAAGATTTTTTTAAAATATAAATGTGCCTTATCTTTTCTTTGTTTTCTTTGCTTCATCAGAAGAATGCGCGCCACCAGCCTTCCTACCCGCTCCACCCGACCCACGTCTCCACTCAGTCCGAGAATCAACCTAGCCGACCACATCACCTTCACCCCCAGCTCATGACAAATAGATGCTCAATATTTTCAGGGGAGTTTTCTGCTATTATTCTTTT